TTTAGTCTCATGTCCTTATTAATCTTTCTAACAAGCACATTACACCCCATGACTATTCCTCTTGTGAGCTCAGTCTTAGTGCTCTTTATTTGTGGCCTTGTTTCATACAAAACATAGCTGAGTAAATTCCAAAACAGATGCCATAGAGGAGTGGTTAGCAGGCTATTTTTTACAGAAGATCATTACTAATCTAGAAAATTCTTTTTTTTTTTTTACCAGGCACTCAATACGTGTAGCCTTGGGTTGGACTACATTGAGCCTTACTAAATAAAAAAAATAATTTGTCCTCTTCGTATGCCAGGAATGTTCAAGACACCAGATTTGTATGGTTTTCTTTCTGCCTGTTTACGACTTTTGGTGCTTTGAAGATTATTTACTAGATTAAATATCTTACAAAGAAAAAAATATAGATATTTTGCCTGTTTTAGAATATATATATATATATATATATATATATATATATATATACCCCATAGAAGAGAGAAGGTAGTAGTAATTTTCACCAGTAAAAATGGGGTGAAGGTATGTATATAAATGGATAGAGATGTTGATCAGAAAGGCAGACAGAAGCCACTCCACCCTCTTGGAAAAAAGCCAAAACCTGAGCCAATACCTTTTTTTTTCTTTTTATATTAAGAAACACCACCACAAAAAATAAAATAAAGAGTGAGAGAGAGAGAGAGAGAGAGAGAAAGAGAGAGAGAGTGAAAAAAGAAAAAGAATCTATTGATCTGAGTGGGCACCTGCTGTAGTCCAGTGGTTACCGAACACATATCTTAGTTCCATACTGGGTACCACAGATCTGTTGCCGTTTGCTTAACCAAACTAAATTTAGTAAATATTTTTGACTGAGTGCCTACTGCAATAGGATGTTTCAAATCTCACATACCTAATCACTTATGTAATGAGATTTTTATCCTGACAAATGCCTGGCAACTGTGGTGTTTTTAACATGATGTAATGGTTGATTGTCATTAGAAACAAAGAAAAGAGTGCTGAACTGCTATGCAATATCAATCTTCCTATATGGGAAAGCTTGACAATTTCCTCACAGATGAATAGAAAACATGAGGTAACAGAGATGTAGTTGTACACAATGATGCTAAGAATACCATGGAAAGGAAATTTTTAAAAGAATAGGAACAAAAAGGACATTTATACTTAAAATCAAAAACAGACAGAAACTTCTAGGATACATAATGAGAAAAGAAGGGTTAGAAAATTTGACACTTGCAGGACATACTGAAGACAAGAAGAGCGGTAAATAACCTACCTAAAGATCTTATATAAACGAATGGTAGAGTTGGGAATGATAAAGGTAATATTAAACGTTTCCTTATAAGGAATCATTTCGTATTCATTGACCAAACAGCTCGTGCTACTTTTGGTTGAAATTTACAAACTCTTTTTCTTAAAAAAATTTTTTCAGGAAAACTGATTTCTCAGGTCTACTAACTCTTTCTACTCTTTCCAGTACTGATGGTAGTTTCCTTCCTAACCTTTTGTTCAAAGTTGTGTGGAATGACATCATCTTGATTATGTCATTAGTTTCTCTTCTCTTTACATGTTCTATCCATTTTAGTTGTTGCTGTCAAAAATCCTTCAGTGATGCGGTTTCTGTTATTTGGTACAGTTCTTTGTGATTCTGTAGCACCAGACTATGAAGTTTAAAGAAAGATGATCCTTGCTAAGACCTAAAGGCTTCATTTTGCTCACTCAAAGCCATTTCTAATCAATGAAAGTAGTTGCATACACTTTACACTTCAGATATTTCTGAACGAGTTTGGCACCATGCATTGCATTCATATGAAGGTCCCAATTAGATGAGTCTATTTAAAAACATGGCCCAAATTTTTAGGTTAATGTTTTAGTTTTGTAGTACATGGTGCAATGGATAAATTGTCATCTATATTACGCAAAAATGAAAATAACACTGATATCTCATTTTAACAGATATATTTACCAAAATTACGCAAAAATATCTTGAAATACTAAATAGTAAATTTATTCAATAAAATCACCATTGGCTTCAACCACAACCTCCAGATGACTTTGGAATCTCTTGTAACTCTTCTAGATGATCTCCTTGTTTAAATTGGTGAATGCTGCCATAATCCTTGCCTTCAATTCATATTTAGTGTTACAAGTACTTTTGCTGGTCTCTCGTTCAAATGTGCCCCACACATAATAATCAAGGGGGTTGGGGAGTTAGATGGCCATATGTAAGGGGTGATGTGGTTGCAAAAATTGTCTGACAGCCATGAGTGGGTTCTACTTGTGTAGCATAGTGCAGAGTCCTGTTGCCAGACATAGGGTCTTCCAGCAGCCACCCTCTTGAGACATGGGAGCATTACATCCTCAAGACACTTGATGTAGGCCTCTGTGTTGAGTTTGAGGTCCTCACCAACAAATTTGTGAGTTCTTTTCTTATCAGATTGATCAAAGTGACTTTTCCAAGCTGCTGTACCTTTGTAATCACCATCAGACTCGTCTAACTCTTTCTGAATCCTTTGCACTGTCCTCAGATTGACACCCAAACACTCTGAAATGTTCATATTGGAGCTTCCAGTGCAATTACCAAACAGTAAAGCATGCTGTTTCCAAATTTCTAGACAAGTGAATTGTGTCATGATGCACTTTTTCTCACAGATGGTGCCCAACTGACCCTACTATACTGTGCAGTCGACAAAATCAAACAACGTGCATGTGCAAAATCAAAAATATAAAATGATGACAATTTATCCATTGTACCCTGTATCTTCTGGTGTTCAGCAAAACTACCCCAAGCCCAACTTATTCTATGCTCAATTTCCTTATCTTCTATACTAAATTTGATATAGCTGAATGAGAGGGATAGTAAAAAAGACAGACATTGCTACAAACTACAAAATAAAAGATAAGAAGTTATGGAGAGCCACAATTGCCCATATTCTAAAATGAAATGCCACACAGCAGAAGTAATTGTTGATGGACTCATGTAGCAGGCCATTAATACCATGCAGTGAGTTTGATAATTCCAGGGTGCTGCATCTTTGTGAACAGAACAGGTTCAAATTAAAAGGAGGACAGTCACGTTATACCAATCTCCCAGCTGTTAAGAACCTGCCTATATTGACATACACTAAACTCAGCTTACAATGATATAAAAACAAAAGTAAAATGGAAGTTAGAAAGATTATATATATAATTTGTAATCATTTAACCCCACACAAGGGGGGAATGCCATTAGTATGCAGGTGGTTACATGGAGTGAAAGTGAAAAAGAAAACTGAGAATAGGGAGGATTGAGAAAAAGACAAAAGATGTATGGGATTCAAGAAGACAAAAGATGGCAAGTGTGGTTGCATTTACATTTTTGAACATTGTATCAGGTCATCCCATAAGTTCTGTCTGAATTTTGAATAAAGAAAACAAGTGACCAAATGTTACATTTAATTACAGATTCAATCAACAATGTATTTTCCCTGATTATCTATGACTTCCTTCCATCTATTAACAAGCTTACTAATTTCATTACTGTAAAATTCTTTTGGCTTTTGATTGAAGAACTCACAAATGTCAGTTTTAACCTCTTCCTGTGTTACAAAAAGCTGTTTTCTTCCAAATGATTCTGTAAGCTACGAAACAAATGGTAGTCTGAAGAAGCAAGATTGGGAGAATAAAGTGGATGAGGAATTTTCTCCCAACCAAGTCCTTTGATCTTTTGTGACGTAATTCTTGCTGTATGGAGTCGCGCATTGCCCTGATGAAACATCACCTCTTTTCAATTCACTAGAGCAGGTCTTTTTGTCCTTAAAGCTTGGTTCAAATGCTCTAATTGCTGACAGTATATTTGAGCATTAATTTTTTCATTAGGTGGTAAGAATTCAAAGTGGATTATTCCTTGGCGATCCCACCAGATTGAAAGAAGAACCTTTTGCCCATGAAGTTCCCTTCTCGGCTGTGGCTGGGGTCCTTCCCCTTTACCAAGCCACTGTCTACGATGCTTAACATTTCGATAAAAGATCCATTTTTTGTTGCCAGTCACAAGTCTATCCAAAAAAGGTGAAACAAGTTGCCGAGAATGGAGAGAAGAGCAGATATCAACTCGGGATTTGAGGTTGCTTTCAGACAATTCATGAGGCACCCATTTTCCAAGTTTAGGAACTTTTCCAAGTTGTTGAAGATGACGATGAACAGTTGTATGGTTTGAACTGAGAACCACTGCCAATTCCTCAACTGATAAAGCAGGATTTTCTTCAAGGGCTGCTTCAAGAAGCTTTTCATCAAGCTCAACTGGACGTCCAGTTCGATCTTCATCTTCAAGGGTGAAATCTCCACCTCTGAATTTTGCAAACCATCTTCTACAAGTTCTTTCATTCACACATTCCTCTCCATAAACTGAGTGAATGTTTCTAGCCACTTCGGCTGCTGAGTTTCCTTTCTTGAACTCATAAAGCATTATGTGCCTCAAATGATTCTTGGGTACTTCCATGTTAGCAGGGTTTTAATCAAACAAAATTTAATTTTATTGTTCTCTGAAATAAAATTTGATCAGTTTAAATGCATCTAAACATAAAAATAATGTTCAGCTTCATTAAACATTATAAAATACTCTTTAAATTTCGTTCATTTTAACAAAAGTTAAAATTCGGACAGAACTTATGGGATGACCTGATAGTTATCAGAGAAGTAAGAAACCAGAAGAGGCTTCCACAGGTGAGAAATGTAAGAAAAGAAACTTGTTGGAGTAGAAGTGCTAAACAATTCTAAATTAAATAATTATGGCAGCTCCCTCTCATGTAATGGTTAATGAGCTAACCTTGTAAAACATTTCTAGAATTTAGTGAGTTGGAATCTTATCGAGTTCTCTATGCATGTGACTTTAATCCCATTTTATCTTGATACAATGTCACTAGAGTTGAGTAAACAGTGAAGATCAAATTCGTGTTCTTCAATTTGCTATCCTAAGGAGGTTGCTAAAATTTCTGGGACACATAATGAAAAAAAGAGAACTTGAAGAATTTGCCACTCACAGGAGGGCATATTGAAGGCAAGATGGAAAACAATGAATAACTTACTGATGAGCTTGTATAAATGGAAATATAAAATATCCAAAAATTAATATCTCCAAAATAATATCCCCAATTTATAATATCCCAAAATTAACAATATCCCCAAAATAATATTCCAAAATTAATATCCCCAATTTATAATATTCAAAAATTAATATCTCCAAAATAATATCCAAAAATTAATAATAGCCCCAATTTATAATATCCAAAAATTAATAATACACACAAAATTAATAATATCCCAATTTATAATATCCCCCAAAATAATATCCCGAAATTAATAACATCCCAAAAATAATAATATCCGAAAGGTTCAAGAAAATCTTTTAACTCTGTTTTTTTTAGGATTTAAAAAATTAGGTTTATTTCCATTTTTATTGTCTCTTACTTTATGATTTCATTGCTCAGCCCAGGTTAGGGGCTGTCTAGACTGTATGAGATGGTAATGTATTATTCTAATGTCATATTTCAATCAAACTATGTGCACACACTGCAGACACACATTATATACACTCATGCAAAATAACATGCAAATGGTATGTAATAGTCAGATAATCAATTCTTCTATGTTAAATATTGGTTAGCTTGCAACCAACATTACAGGTAAATCATTTGACTTCTACATTCTGTTATAATATATATCTGATTATGTACACATTAAAGGCTAAAGAATTAAGGAAATCTAATGAGTTCTATTACTCCTTCTTCTATGTGTTGCA